AATTACATGTTGAACAAAGTGTTAAATTAAAATTTTTATCGAAGTTACTATTATATCCAAAAAAATTGCTTCGTTCTTTTAACCAAGTAACTTGAGCTAAACGAGTTTTGGAAATTTTATAACATCGATTATGAATTTCTTGTCCACGTTCAGATCGAAAAGTGTCAGTACGAGATGGTTTTATTTTTAAATTACATGAACAGCTTTCATTTTTTAAATCTTTAAAACAGAAAAGACATTTTTGGCAACCATAACAAGTGCCAAGTTTATATTTACGATGTTTTAATAAAGACATGATAAAAGCTTCATAACGAATTTTAATTACTATATATAGAACCTCTATTTGGTACGGGTTGGCAATAGAGTTCAATAAAACCCAATAAAGCTGCGAAAAAATGCTTTGAATGGAGCCAACGGATACTAATCCATTGACTCCAATGCCAACCCTGATTTGATACGTACATTGTTTATAATAAACTGCTAACAATTACAAATAATTATTTCAAAAATTCACTTAACCGCTTTAGTATTCATGTGTATTCGTGATATATCGCTAGTAAAGGGAGCTTGTAAAAAGGAAATCTATTAATAAATGAGAAATAATCACTAATTGTTAAGTGAATTTCACAGAATACAACGAATAAAAGGTAGCTATCTATAGTATAATCGTGGGATTCACAGGATTCACAGGATTCAGAAAAATAATCTGCAAAATTGATTGATTCAACTAAATCGAAAACAGCTATAATATGTACGTATCCCGAGTTGATTTATGCCAATTCATACAAATACCAATCAGCTTTTTTTATATCTAATTTTTCAATCTAATAAGCCTAAAACTTTTTCGATTATTTACCAGCAAAGATGCTTTGAAAGTGTTATATTTCTGTATTCAAACCAGAGATATATGTACTATACGTATATACTAAAGTTTTGCAACATCTACATAGTTACCGGTTCTTAAATTATATATATCAATTTGAATCTATTATGCCAAAATTACCAAATCGATTCGGCCAAATTTGGTTAATTTTTACATATCAGGTATTCCAAAATTATGATAACAGCTATAAAAAACTTTTTTTTAGCCGTATAAAAATTTTATATATGAAAAAAACGACCGGCTATGTTATGAAAACTAAAATTTGTATGGCCTTACATCCAATTTCCTAGTTCTGTAGTTGCGATTAATTTCTTATGATCTACGTAATTATTACACTTTTGACGTAATTACGTGTAAATTTGACGTATCCGCACGCCATTATATGGGGGAAACTGTTTTTAGTAAATTTTTTTTAAAAATTTAAATTAAAATATTTCAACAATTATTAAACCAAACTTGGTAAAAATTTTTTTATTTTAACTATATATATATATAGTTATAGAATTAAACTAAAAATTTTTATCAAATTTGGATTAATAGTTGTCAAAATATTTTAATTCAAAGTTTAGAAAAAATTTATTTAAAAATAATTTTCCTAGTTTCTATTAACACCTCCATGGTTTGTATCTGTTCTTAATAAAGTTAACTAAATAATTTTTTGAATATCTATTTCTGCATTTAGTTAAATAAAGTTAATACTATAGTTTTAATCAATTTTACGAAAGTTACAAATTGTATGGATGGTACCAAATAAGTTTTATCAAATAATAAATTATGAATTATCGAATTAATTTATCATTAATATTGTGATACTAAAACTTTGAAATTATTTAATATTATATATATACAGTCGACTCTGGATATAACGAACCTTTTTATAATGAACATACTATATAACGAACTTTTTTTTTAAAATTTATTATAGGTTCGGTA